AGTAAAGTCTCATTAATTGGTTGACAGCTGAATTGACCACGAATGTAAGCATCAGCATTGTTCAGGAACGACAACACTTGCCTCTGGATACTTACTGCTTGCTGCATTATGTCACGACTGTATTCAAGATCTGAAATTATAAATTATTAAATTTTATAATTTTATAATTATTAATAAAGGCAGTAAAAGCATACAATATAAGGTTGTATTGTACCTGAGCTGTATTTTGTCATCATACAAAGAATCCTGAATTGGTTTGCAGTGTACATGGTCATGAACTCTTGAATAGAAACTACATTCTGCAGTGATTTGGACATCTTGTTGACATCATCAGCTAAATGTAAATGACCTAGACAGTGGAAACAGATCAATCTTTTCAATTATCCAGATAACGATAACAGTAAACAATAACAATGAAATTCCTGCAAACTTCAAGAAATTCACCTGCAAATTTGCTCCACTTATTTGCGATATTTTAAAGGTTCCCTAAAGGACACATACCTCAAATTTGGAAAGATGTAAATGTTATGCCTATTATTCCCCTGCACATATCGATAGACTTCGTTCTAGCTCACTTACTTAGCAATTTTGTGACTGAAAGGTTCTTAAACTTTGGAGCACTGGATTCAGATCGACCAAAATAAGGACAAAGGGAAGCAAACTAATAGATCTACTATCTGAATGACTAAAAACCATAAGTTACTTGTTATACATTAATTATTTTCTTACCTGAGTGTAGGAAATAATTAGTCCATTGATGACTTTCAAAACAGGCCTCACACTGAGCTATCTCATTGTCATGGTGAGGAAATGCTAAATCTTTTCCTCCAGTATGGATATCCAAAGTTTCACCAAATATTGCACTGTAAAAAAACAATTATTTTCATTTCAAGAATTTTTTAAAAACACACTCCATATGAACATTCAACACTAAAATGGAACGTAAAGTATATTCTTTTAAAATACCGCTCCTCAACTTAGAGCTAATTCTCGAAACATGAAAGTTACAAGCTCTATTAACCTTTTTAAAAGTATTACAATCATATATAAAAACAAAAAACAAAAAAACAGAAAAACAACCAGATTCACAATAATAATTGTGAAAGAGAATTGTCTTCTATGAGAGACTAGTCTGATCTGGGGGAGGGGGTTATATATCTCTGATCTGGGGGAGGGGAGGGAGTTATAATTCTCTGATCTTTGCACCTCTTTTTCTTTTCAAAACTGAGATTTTCTCGTCATTTTTTGCTGAATGTTTTCAGGACCCCAATAGAAATAAATCTATGTAATTGATTTTTTTAGGCTATCCTGATCACAACCAACACTTTTCATGTCTAATTTTTTGTATATTTCATGTGATGTGTTTAATCTGGTTAATTCAATTTTTAAATTTTAACGCTTTTTAAAAGTTCTTCAACACAATTTTATCAAGATTTCAGCTTTTGAAATTTTTTTTAAGAAACATTTTGGAAAGTTTTAATTGTAATTATCTTAATAATTACTATTATTATCATTGTTTTAATCTTGTTCTCTAATAATCACTTTTTTAACCATTTTCCCGACCTTTTTCTAGTTTCAAACTTTATTCAATCTCTCAATTTTTGTCCTTGTTCCTATTTGAATTTTATGTCTGTATAGTTTGTTGATTATTGATTGAATTAATGACTAAATGAATAATTAGTTCTTATATTTGTTTTTAAATTTGATCAATAAATATTATCATTTAACAGATAAATGAATAATTATTATTTTCAACATACTTGTTTTCTTTGT